TATAGAATATTGAAATTTAAAAAAGGATTAAATCCTCTGATAAGATTGATAAAATATTACACCAAAACTGTGTTGATCTACTCTTATTAAGTAGGCTGCTCTAAATTTCTTCTGAGAAAGTACTGGGGTTAACCAATATCAAAGTGACGATTAAGCCTTAAAAATACTTAAAAAGCGCAGAAACATATTCAGCAGAGCATGAATCCTGTAGTAAATGAATTGTCTATTGACCAAAATTTGATTTCTTTTGCTTCTGGGTATAGGACTGCATCAGGCAAATTGGCTATAAAAATAATTTTTTAGAGGAAAAGAAAGGAAGAGAAGGAATACCTTTAAACTTACTGGAATCAGATATAAATCAAGACTATGTACATTTATTCAGGCCAAACCTGTGTCTTGAAGAATCTTTATTCTAACTGCTGCCCAAACTGTGGCTAGATAACAAGACAGAAGACAGAATGCAATTTGCAAACTTCATGCTTTGACATTGAAGGAGTCACCCTTGGTGAAAAAGCATTGCTTGCTATGTTGCTATGTTTAATCATTTGCAATGTAAAGAACCAGATATCTTGTCTAGATGAAAAACTATGTTGAATTTTCCCATTAATATTGCCAGTCTCAGGTGACTCAACTATAGATAGATCTTCCAAACTGTTCATCTTTTAAAGATACAAATAAAAAATTTCTTAGCCTTGTACAAAGAATTACACTGGAGAAGAATGTCCTCTCCATTAACCTCTAAACCTGTGGTTTGGGCTCTGGTCAGCTTAGAGGCCTGTACAGGCCTGAGAGTTACCTATATATGTTCAGCATATAAATGCTAGATATTTTTTAGATTATCTCTAGTCTTTAGAGCAACCTTCCAAACAATAACACTGCCCCCATTTTACAGATAAAGATAGTAAGGTACACAGAGTAGTCTGGTAAACTCTCCAAGCTCATACTGTTAATAAGTGAATGAATTAGGCTTTTAACTTCGATATTTCTGTATTCAAAATCCTGCTCTTTCAACTTTACCATCAAATATGTGCCTTTAGTTGATTGGCTGACTCACTCATAGCCTCACACCTGAAAAAGTAGTATTTTATCTTGAGAATGCAAGGTAAGGTACTGGAATGAATCCAGGGGCCGTTGGATATAAATCCTTCCTTTTATAAATGGAAGTAACTGAGGCCTAAAGATTCAGTTAAGGACATGTATCAAGGTAATAACAAAGCTGGAACTAGGATTTTCCTTTGAAACTTAACATTAGGCATGCCATAATATGACATGAAAATTAAAATTTTTCATTTAAAATATGAAATGATTTATTTAAATGAGATATGAAATAATTTAAAAAAATAAAATTTCAAGATCCATATTATCATCCATTGTCATTATTTATGCTAATGCATAATTAAAACAGGCTTTTTCCAGGGTGCATCGAAGTTGATACCACTATAGAACACCCAACAGAAAAATAAATGTGAGGACTTGGTTTAAAAACTTACAGAATAAAATTCACACTGAGCTCTAAAAATAGGCATTGAGCCCAATTTCTGGAATAAATCAAAGAGTAGGCAGAAAACAGACAGCAGGAACAGTTATTTTAGCAAGAAAAGCAGGATAAATTTACCAGGCCAATCATGGATGATGTGTGCAGATAAAAGATGGAGAAAATGTGCAACATTGATACATGCACACATTTGAATGCAAGAAAGCAGAAAACCAGAAAGCACAATTGTCCTTAATGTGAATAAACATTCAAATTATGCTGCAGCTGCAAAGTTTAACTCAAAGAAGAGACATTTGCAAAGGAATTTATTAAATAGATGTGATTTCCTGGTTTCACAAACCCAGTGGCTCTTTTGTAAAGTAAAATGTACAGTTTGTCTTGCTGTAAATGACATTTGTCCCTGTTGTACTCAATGAAATAGCAAAAAGTCTTTAGTGAAAGAATCTGCTTATTAAGGAGCACAATACTATTGATAACCAGACACTGGGCTCTGAATACATGGAGTTATTCCACCTAATCAAATGTCTTATATATTGAATATGGTCTTACAATAAAGAGGTTTTCATGTGAAGTAAAGAGTTCTTCCCTAAAGGCCTATGCCAGAGCAGTTTCTTTGTAAGGAGCTAAAATTCTTGCTGAAACCAGTCTAGGCTGCTAAGCTTGTCCATCTGTCTCTCCCCTCCCCTCCCCTCCTCTCCTCTCCTCTCCTCTCCCCTCCCCTCCCCTCCCCTC